ACGACGAGTTTCGATTAGCGTCGTGACAGTGAATCTTCTCCGTCCGTTTGTTCCATCTGAAAGATGCGCGCGGAAGAAACGCGTCGCACTTTATCGCGGAAAATTTAATTCGGGAAGTATTTTAATCCATTAATTGCGATAATCGCTTCAGTGTAAAAGTCGAGATACATACATCTCTCTTAACAGTGAAATTATCGTTTCCATTGTTTTATCTTACAATTAGTAAATTGTTAAAATTTTAATGAAATCTTGAATTGTTCCGCACAAAATCTTTAATATTTCTCATGAGATTTTTTATAGTTTCATTAACTCAGGATTGTACTTTTTTCTCGCGTGTATTTCTTTTCTTTTTATGTGCAATCCAATCTCTTGTCGATTTTTCCAGATGTGAAAGTATAATATATAATTTGTGTCTTAGTACCTCGGCATCTTTATGCTTTCAGACTTTCTTACCTAATACTTACAGTTTATCTACATTTTACTGCTTTAGTGCATCTATATTTCTTATATGAGTGGTCCCTCTCAACGCATTTGCCCTAAATCGTCAATAATCCACGCACAAGTATTACTATTTATATTATTACAACTATAACAGGATTCTGATGTATTTTCTAGAAAGGATATACATATTTCATATTTCTGATAACGAATGATCCAAATTTCTTAAATCAAATATGCGGTAAATAAAACATAGCCAATATCGCTTTTTTAATGAAATATCTAGATCCATAAAATATATGATATTTTATAGTTGTATCAGCACATATTCTTCAGTTTTCGAGTTGTCAAAATCGCAGAACTCTACGCGAGACGGCAGGTGCGCGATGAGAAAATAGCTGTCATCCTCATAGGACGTAGTAAATTTTCCGTAGTCTTTGAGCGCTTCGGCCCGCGAGGGCGAGCGATCTGTAAATTTTTCAGGGTTTCTCCATCGCGGCCGGCGAAACGCGATAGCGGGTTTACGGCGCGCGAGAGTCTTTCTCATACACCATGCAGCATCTGGCCGCGGACCGATCCGTGTGTTTGAAAGAAAACTAGGATTCCGTGAGTTACGCTCCGTTGTACCGTTTTCGCGGGAACAATTTTAGCAGATTGGAAATTAAAATTTCACGCGGTTCCACACGGGAGCAGCCATCACCCGCCCTCGGAACGTCGAAAACCCTTTCTCTTTAAGCGCGCCTCGAGACAAGCGGAAATGCTTCGTTACTGCATCACGAGGGTTCCCCAACATCGTTTCCTAGAGCCGCGGGCGGAGATGGCGGGTGCACGGTAAAAAGTTTCAAGGTGTTTCACCTCCGTTGGATGAGCAAGGACGAGGTTTCCTTCTCTAAGCGCCGCGAGCGACCGGAAAACGAGCTCGATAAAACTCGTTTAGCGCGCATACACGTTTGCCGCACGTCAATTATATAAGTTACTTTAATTTGATATATATTTTTTATAAAAATGTATATTTTAACAAAATGTTCCAAGCAAGTTGAAGAAAAAATTTTTTTAGATTTTTTGTTGTAAAGTTAGATCAGTACAAAAAGTTTTAATTAAATATGCGAAAAATATTTCATCAATACGATATATAATTATAATTGATTGTATGGATTAATAAATTTAATAAGTATTATATTATAGATTAAAAGCATTGGAGATAGAAACAGCTAATATTGGTTCATTGTTTATTTAACTCAAAAAAAATTGCACTTTGCTTTGGAGTTTACTTTTTAGTTCATACTTTAATCAGAAAGATTTATATAAAATAAAAAGATGGTGCCCGAATAAAAATCTTTGGATTCAAAATCAACATCGAATAAGTCAAAGAACCGTATCACACGAAATTATAAAATACGCTCTATAGGAAGGCATCTTGCAAAAGGGCGGCGTCATGCCAATACGTTATCCGCAATTAGACGCTATAGAGAACCGCGACACGTAAAGCCGTAAAAAGCTTCAATTGCGCAATCGAACTTCGCCGATACCAGATCCAAGTACAGGCGAACAGGAATTTCCGCTCTAACGACGAACGCCGTGGAGAGAAGACTCGGAGGGACTTTTATCCGGGTGTTTCTTATATAAGCGCGCGCGCGCTCGTTGTACACTCGCAGGCTATTATCCGGGATTACTGGGTACGCCCAGGCACGGGAGCAGATAAGTACAGCAATATACGGGGGCAAATTTGTTCCCGACGAAGTCGCCGCCATCACTGCCGCCGCTGACATTGCCGTCATGGACAGTTTAAATACTTTAAATGAAACGCCGACGAAATGTCCGCGGATGACAGTGGTGGCTAAAGGGACACTGACAGAATGTCTATAATTAATGCCGATTTATTAGAAGATATTATGGCCGGTAATTACACGTGACGTTAACTAGTTTGGATCATGATATTAATATCGTGTCATTAATAAATATTCAATCAGATATTATTAAATGTTAAAATAAATCCATAAATGTGTGTTTAATTATTAATTAGTTTCAATAAGCAATTACTTTAATTTGTAATCATGCAATAGATTACGTTGTAAAGTGTTATATCTAAAATGTAAAATGTGATTATATATAGTACATATAATACTTTACTATGCTTTGCTCAGTCATATATATGCACGCGCGCACGCATCAGATACGCATATATACATATTTCATATGTAATTATGTGTATTGTTTTTAATAAATTATTATAATACAATAAAAAATCAATACTATATCATTATGATATCATTTAATAAATTTCGTATAGTAATATAATTCTGATTATATATATATATATATATATATAAGATGCGAAAAAGTATCATTGCATACAGTAAATATTATAAAAGCTTTTAACATATTATTCAGTACACAATTTCGGTGTTTATTTAATATTAATGGATGGCGCAACGCTTGTTCAAGTATCAAAAATTTGTGCTGTTATATTTAGATAAAATATTTAGATAATTATACTATTTTATACGATAATAATAATAAGAAAAATATAAAAATGGTTCGTTGGCTCATCTATTTTTTAAGCGTCATTTATTGTGACTGATGTGTTCCTGTCAGATGTGATCTTTTCTCGTCTTTCTCCTTCCATCTATCTGTTTCAATTGCTACCTTTATCTTTTCTGCCGTTTGCCACTCGGTCTATTCCGTTCTCTATTTCTTTTCGCTGTCCCATCCCCAACCTCTCTGCCGGTTTCTTCGTCATCGACTTCGTTCGATGAGTATTTGCATAATCTACTTTGTATCGGATTCGAGTGGGTCGATTTGGCAGCCGACGATTTTTGATGCAACTAGCTCGATCGACCTCACTGTGTCTGCAAAGACTCGTAAGCATGATATAGTTTGCAGTCACAAAGAAACATTTAATTCTTGTATTCGGCATCAAATATGGCTTTCATAATCTTGAAATTTCCTTTGCAAATATTATCAATATGTTTTTACCGATATATAAATGACGAGTTAGGATCAACCAAACGTGAATGTTTGTGTCTATTACAAGTTACGAGATTTTCACAATTTCTGATATTTGAAAATATTTTTGATAAGGATATTATTCACATACTTTGAATATTTTTGTGTTCAATAAATCTTTTTGGGTCAAGCGCCAATAATAATTGAATTAATATATTTGACGCTTCCGCTTTTAAATAGATCGGTATAAATTTTACTCGGATAAATTTTTGATACTTAAACAAGCGTTGCTGCTATTCATTTAATATTAAATAAACACGAAATAGTGTACTGAGTATGATAGGAGCTTTTATATGATATTTGCTGTATCCAATGTAATTATACTTTTTCGCATTTTTTGTATTTTTCGCATTTTAATCAGATTTATATTACTATACAAGATTTATTAAAGCATATCATGGGAATCTATAAGAAATGCGTAAAAATACAAATGATATATATTAGAGATATATGTACATCTCAACATTAAATTCAGACTTTGTTATACCTAGAAAGATATCACTTGTATGTCGTGTTTACTTGCACCTTCGTCGGTGTACGCCTCTTCATAGCAAACAGCAATCTATAACCACATCTGTCCGCAAATTTGCGGCCGCCAGTATACTCTTGTATGCACACAAGTGCAGACGTATGCGCGAGCCGCAGAGACTATCCCCTCGTCGCGCTGAACTTTCGCAAAAAGTAAATAAAGCCTTTAGTCAGACCTAGCGCGGCGGCATGTTTAGGTTGAAAGTTTCACTAGACCATACTGGTGGTAGTAGTAATAGTAGTAGTAGTAGTAGTAGTAGTAGCTTCAGGGGTTGTTTGTTGTTGCAGAGAGAATGGCTGATGCGCCGGAGATCGTACGGAGACTCGGTTAGCGCGCGCAATCGTGAGCAGATACTGCAACAAACGAGAAGACTCAAGGTACGAGACGATATATCCGCTCGTTTCGATGGCTTACCGATTACGGTTTATCTTAGGCATGAAGGGCTGAATCGATAACATTGACAACTATGCCCCATTCTTCCACAAGATTTGTCAAATATACATTGCTTTATACGTGACTGATCAGTTATTGCGCCATTTCTTCGCACGATAGTAATAAAGTCGAATTTTTTATTTGATTTGAATCTTTATTTTATTTTTCTCTTTGTTTATGTAGACTTTCAGATATTTTACATTACATAGGTTAACCCAAATAATTAGATTCTAAAATTAACATTTTTAATGAAATACTTGTGAATGTTATATTTCCCGTGTTCCCTTTTCATCCTATACATTATATTATTTAGTTATTTATTTAAGAAATTTGTATGTTAAAGAAAGAATATTCTAAACAAAACAAACGTAATATGGACCGATATAAAAATGCCGTACTTTACACAGCTAATTGTAAGCGTATTGCGCATTTTTATTTCTTATACGCAAGCTATCGAATCTTTGTTCGCGATCACGTGACATCCGGTTAGAATAGGCGTCTTATTTCGCTCCCGACAATGTGTGTACTCGATCGAGGAATCCGGGCATTATCGAAAACGAGATTCCGGAAAGTTCAATTCGACACCCACGCATATCTGAGAATCCGTAATTGCGTTTCTGTAGAGGTTCGCTTTTCCGCTTCGCGCGGCGAATCGTTTGTAAGTACAATCGCGTTGACGACCATCCGACGGAATATAATGCCGAAAAAAAATAATGGACGAGGCAAGAGTCGCGGTTCGTGCTTGATAAATTAGCATCGATGGCATTCGGCTCCGTTACGGTCGATATTTAATTGCCAATTAGAGGATGCAAAAGAGGCATTGCTGACGGGCACTAGCTCGTTTTACCCAACGCACTCATGAAAGTCAAGCCTCGTAATGACCGGCCGCAAGATTTATAAATGAAATTAATTACGTACGTACCACTCCGCGTTAACAATGCCGGGACCGCGTTTTTCTTTTCTCTTCCCTTCTATATTCTATCTTCTTCTTTCCAGCAGCATATCTTGTTCTGACGCTAGTCATTACCCATTTGCTTTCGCTGATATATCAATTTCTCATTTAATTGTGTGCGACAGCGATTCAATTATGAAATTTTAATAACTATTATTCTATTTATTCCTGAGATCAGTTGAGTCGTAACGAGTGATTAGTATAATAACATATATTAGCAGATTGAAAATAAAGATCAACTTTATTATTCGATTTTCTAATGAATTAAAGAAATATAGCTATATATTGAATTATATGCTCATCTTATCATTTTATAAAATCTATCAAGCTAGATATAATTTTACTATTATAGATTATTATTTTTATATAGATTATACTTTTCTTGCTTTTGTTTTAATCTGATTTATATTTTCAATCCACACGCGCAGCGGTGGCGCTGGCACATTCCGATATCCTTATGAATGAAATTTATTATACATCAAGAACAGAGAGGTACGCTAGAAAAGACGCGTTGCGATTCGCAAGATGAAAGATATCAGGAACGCGCGGCGGAGAGAGTCTCGTTGCGAGACAAAATATTCATAACGGTAGAATGAAATTCCGTCGGGTCGTATCCTCCATTCGCGCGCTCCATTCCCTAGATACAATTCCGGGAATAACTTAGTTTCGTATCGGCCACGGCTAAGTCAATTGCACTTTGGCAACTTGTATTCAATTATTCCATTTCAACCGGGAACGCGCTCACGATCTGATCTCGCGAGATTACAAAGGTTCGAGCTTAACGATTATTCGCGCGGAACACCATGCCGTGGTTGCTACTACGTGTGTTTCCACTTGGCCGATCCAACGCCGGAAGAATCAACTGTCTGTACAGGATGGTATCATCTCATGATGGTATAGCTCTACGTTAAGGGACACCTTTTACTTAAACTTTGCAAATTATAAAAGTAATGGAAATTTTACGTTACATTGATTCGCAAATAGACGATACATAATATTACATATCAGGATTTCTTTTATATTTCGCGTATTATAAAAATATAATGAATGTTTAAATTTCGCGTATTATAAGAATAATAGACAAATTTGCGTTGCTTCGATTCGCAGATGTAGACGCGCGAGTGACGTAAACGCGCAGTGAATCCGTCCAATTTCCTCATGCAAATACCGTATCTTGATCAAGGTTATAGAGACAATTCACAATATTGTTTTAACATCCATTGGAAGCTCCGTTAATGAACGTACACTGGTTTGTTTACATTTCTTGCACTTTAATGAATAATGCTCTAAATTAGAGATAAAATACTTATGTGATCTGAATAACAAAAAATTAAATTTGGTCTGTAATTCTTTGACTGTCTATCACTGTTACGGTTTCCGGTTTTGTATGTATAATGCACATTAAATATTTTATTGTTTCATTGTTTTGAAAATTATTATTGAATTTCTCTTTTACTATCTTTTTGCGTATGATTTATTCGTTGCCAAGAGCTTTGATTATGCCATTAGGTTCGCATACTGCATATAGATATAAGATGCGATTGATGTGTCAAGTTCGCATAACGAACGAGCAGTGGCCGTATAGAAGTAACCCTCTCCGAAGTGCCGTTATCCGCACATAAATTCAATTATACGTACAAAGCTACTACTGCGGACCGCAACGACCACGAGCATAGGCAGAAATTGAGGGAATAAGAGGGAATAGCGGCGCTCCGCGCACATGGATGAACCTATGTTATGCTTCTCGCAAGGAGAAGTAGCCTCGTGATTCGCATACTACAGCAGACAAATTTCATTTGCAATGTATTTCCTATGCTTGTATACGATACGCATCTCTCTTATTCGCCGACATTGGCTGATATCGATCTTCTCACAATGAAGGAGAAGCTGCGATATTAATTGTTATTAAACGGGTTCGCCGATTAACTTTAATCGCAATTTAATTTAATCTCTGCTTCTTTTTAATTCTCTGGTTCTAAGAAAGGATAAAAGTTATTTTTTTTATAATATTTAATTTCCAGAGACAAAATATTATATTTGTGTCCTCCATATACACACACATACACACACACAAGCTTCCTACATTTCTTTATTTTATATAATATAAAAAATTAATACTCTAATACAAAATCTTATATATGTATATATAAATTGTTTTTTTAACATCGATGTATATTATATTATTTATTTTATTTGTTATACATATTCGGAGTCTATTCGTATTTCTAAAGTAAAATAAATGATGCTTATCTATATTATTTTCGCTGGAAAAGACTCGCGAAACTATCGACGCGAGTCAAAGTATAAAATCACAGTCCGTGAATATCATTTGATTCTTCCGTCTTTTCTTTCTATTTATTCGATCAAAGCGACCCCCCCACTCGTCCCGCGAGCACTTATCCTCTTTGTGTTCACAGTCGAGACGCGCCATCGCTCAAAAATGTTTCTTGCCCCCTTTGAAGGATCGGAACGCTGCCGCCTCAAAGGTAAATTGAGCTCTTTTGCGACCTCGTTCTCCGATACTCTAGCTGACTTTTCTGCTGTGCAATTATTCGTGTATCTCCGTAATGGAGTGGAGAGACTGAAAGAAGTCGCGCGGCAAGATCATCGTTGATAACATTGTCTCGTTTATTTCAGGATCGTGAAAACTCAAGGATCCCTGAGACGGACTGCGCGATGCAAGAGAGTCTCTTAAAGTGTCCTGTCAGATATCCGAAGGAAAAGGAAGTCATCACGAGCGAAGCATTGCCGTCCCAAGAGGTCGAAACGCTCGAGGAAACGCCGAATTTCAGTTCGTCGCTCGCTTCATATAACGTTCTCGAAGACCCGTACTTGGAGACGCTGCAACAGCGTCACTTGCAGGAGAAGAAATTGGCGGATCGTCTTATGCGTCAAGCATTAAACTCTTGATCACGACTGGTTCAGGTAAATAGAGCGTTCAGGTAAATAGATAAAAATCACTATAACTTTTTGATAATTCCTTTTGTGACTTACATGCGACTATTCTATTTAACGGTCTATTTTTACAACTGCAAAACAATATTTTATTACTGCGATTCATTTTCCGTCACGTTATCGTACATTTGTCCATCGCATCCTGTTTACACATATTTTATACTCGTAGATCTATATCTTCTACCACATATTTTTACATCTATTTGAAATAATCCGCCATATATTACAACATACGACAAATGTGTACGTCTTAAATTGCATGGCCCAGTTCAATTTGAAAGCGATATTAATTATTACGGTTTGCTGTACACGGATAGACTCGCTATGCGTTTATGAAATATCGCAATATCGACCATTCGTTTCCACAAATGGACGGCTTTATTTTCGTGTCATGATCCGTTTCTCGTAAACTGATCCGGTCACCTCTCGTCAAGAACTTCTATACTTCCATACTTTGTCACATGCGTGCTTATATTGTCGAGACGCAGTTGGCAGACTTGGCAGGTCGACGAGATGCCCGTAAATAAATTGCACTTGTACCCGTGAGATTAGTCTGAGGATAAAATATTTAAACTTAATTCCATCCGAATAAATAATTCACTCAATGTTCTGGCGCTTCGTATGCCCCGCTATATCCGTTACCCCCTTGATGCCGCGACGAAACGAGTTGCGACAGTAATATGTATGGACGTAAACGCAACATATATATATATATATATATACACAAATGTGTTATAAAATATTTCTATAGCAGAGATATTTCTATATCAGATTGTCTTTTGATGTACTATTATAGAAACTTGAAATCTTAATTGCGAAAAGAAAAAGCGGGTCACTTTGTTAATGATGTCGAATTGTGTTCTTTTACATTACGCGATAATCTTAGCCAAAAAGAAAAAAAGCCAAAAGTTTTAAAAATTTTACGAATATATCGTTCAATTTTATTTATTTTTATTTGTGAATCGTATTATATTTACTATGTTTTTAAATATCTACTTCTCTTTTTTTTACGATGTGCGCTTTTCAGAATGCATGCAGACGAACCCCTACGGTATGCAATTGTATACCAAAAACTTGTCTCTCTCCGCACGGTTCTAGAATTATTCAAAGTTCTTTCCACCTAGAGAACGATGATCGTACAGAAAATGAGCGTTCTTGCCAAGAGCAGCGAATCGCACACGGGATAGTTGGAACCGACGAGTACCAAGAGAATATTTTTATCGGCCATGATCCACATGGCGTTTTACGCAGCCGAGTTAAACTTAAAGATCCGGAAAGTCAGCGAAAGTAAAGTGTTCGTTCCCATCGTGTTGCGGCTGCTCTTCTGAATATGTAAATGCGCTACTGTTGTTCTCCTGGAAGATGATTCCGCTGCCACGGTCACGGCTAAATCTGTTATTACGCTTCTATAATCAAGCGCTGTGTTTCTGGACAATATATTCATCGTCCGCGGCTGAAATTACTTTCGCAGGTTTCGCATAGAGCCCAACGTTACTCACTTCTCAATTTATCGAGTCTGAAATTAATAAAATATATAAAATTTTTAAATGAATTTATATATATCTGCATATATAAACATATAGGTATATACAGTAATAAAATCATATATATTGCATATTTTTTTAAACTTCAATTTCGGGAAGCATTAATTTATAATACGCGAACATAACTTCGTATAATCCATATGGCTCTTGTAAAAAAACCATATACATCCACTCGGATCATTTGAGCGTAAAGAGCGTTAATCTACATCTTGTAACCATATAATTTCCTATAATAATGCTCAACTTCTTACGTTCGCGCAATTGCACGATGAAAATTGCGATGTGTTTTATCGTCTTCGATTAAATAGTCTTGTATTAATCCGCAATAAAGAGGAGAGGGTAGTTCTCGAAGGGAGAGAGAAAAGAAACAAAGTGTCCGTATTTAAACCTTCAGTTTCTGCGGCAGCTCTTTATATAAATGGATAATGGTTCTACAACGGTCGGCTGGGTTCCTAGAACGGCGAATATGTACGTTACTACTGCCGAAGGGCAGTTCATTAACTGCCAGACGCCGGGTTCGATGAGAGAGTTACGGCTCGGAAGAGATAGAGGCGAACTGGCGTGCGCAACGTGGCTTTGAAGTGGCGAGCGCCTCGCGGGCGTCCAACGCGGAATAATAGGAATTATCTCCTATTTCGCTCGGTTCGACTCCCCTTTCCTCGCACTTCCTTCCTCTCCTTCCCCCTTCTTTCTCTCTCTCCCCCTCCTCCCCGCCCATTCGTTTATGCCCATCCGTCCCTCGACACGCGCTCATCCATACAAGGATACCTGACGCTCTGTTGATTGGGACGCTTCAGGCGAAGCAATAATCGCGTCGGTTACCCGACCCTATGAAAGCTGTCTTAATGAATCGACGCCAGCGTCTTCCCTACGCGCGTATTCATACCATATTGTCCTGCGGTTCAACGATATAGTCGCGACAGACGAAGCAATTGTCGGCTCGTACTAATTACGTCAAGAAACAAGGCGATACATTTCTATATTTCTATATTCAATATATCGATACGATAAATATAAATAGATCGAAGGAAAATATATATAAATTTATATTAATATATATAAGTATATAAAATAGGCCATCATATTTTTCATAAAACAATATTGTCACACATTGGTAAATATTATTGACTTATACCTTGCGAGCTGCAGTGATAATAGAGATTGTATTATTTCAGAACAAATCATTAACACTTAAATATACATCGCCCTTTATTGTGTGCGATGTACTCAATATCGCAGCTTGTTGATCGCTTGTAAATCGCGGCTGTATCCTCGCGTAATAATTTAAATCCTTTTTTTTTATTTTTCTTAAGAAACGCTTTCAGCTATAACGCTATTAATATTTTCCGCGTTATTAATATATACCGATATAAGCTTTATGCAAAGCTTTGTAATGTAATGTAGCTTGAGAAGTGTGCGCGTAATTGCTCGCAGCAATCGGTTACAAACAAATTATGATTATAGCATTTTATCTAACGACAAATTATGATCATAACATTTTATCTAACGACACTCTACCGAAATAATTATCAATAATGTAATTATCGCTCGCTTAATGCATAAACAAAGTTTCTAGAGCAAGAGCGATGATTTTATACATATTTTACGCTTCCATAAGTTTGTATATTTCATAAATGTCCGTGCAACCGACGATGGTTTTTTCCTAATTGCGGATTCATCGCACGTTGATTCGCCCACTCTGTTGCGTTGTCCCGTTAATTATCGGTGCTGGTCATCACTCTGCCTGGCAATTATTAACGAATAAATCTAATAATTAACAGTGTTTCACATTAATGGCCGCGTCGATATACGGATGATTATTTATGTAAACCGCGATTATTTATGTTTTAATTGTGGCGCGTTTGTTATCGCACATCAGGTACGAGGTCCTTTTTGTGACGAGCTAGCCGACATAAATTCGTATCATGCTAATGGCTTTTGCATTAATACTAACAATAAGAACATTAAGTTTAAATAATAATTATTAATTGTTATTGTGTTTGCAAATATTAAGAGAAACATATTGTTATTGATTGGATGCAATTATTCATCGACTGTGTACCGATTTAATTACCCTATAAATTTCCTACGTTCTATATTATATTACAGATAGATAGACGTGCATATATTGAGCATAAGAAATTAAAATGCGCTTTACTTCACCAAATGTCTCTTTAAAACAATAAAAATGTAATTTTTTTCACTGGTTTGTGACCTTCCCGTTTTGTGGATATTCGTGGAATAATTGGCTACGGTTATACGTTTCAAACATAGCGGTTATCGAATGGGTTTCCATACATACAATGAATAATTACATGGTGCGCTGGTTCATATCTGAAAATTGTAGAGATAAATATAATATAAAGAGAAGATATCGTGAGAGAGTTGTGTGTAACATTTGTACAGCAGTGCATTTTTCATTAAGCCAATCAACCGCCGTTATTTAAAAAGAGCAAGATTTCAAATAGCTTTCAAATAATAACCGAGAAAAGAGATTTAATAATGCCCTTTATAAATATTACATGTTATCATAGTCGATACATGATCGACCGTCTGGAAAAATTTAAGGAGAAAATATAATGCGCCAGGTGCAACAGTAACGTAAATACGCTACTACTAGATATTTGTAGCTAGATTTTTCGTTCGCGTTACGTCGCATCGTCGAATGAGTTGACGAAAATCAGCATTCGTATAATCGGCCGGATGCTTGCTCGGCCGGCCTGGAGCGAAAATATAGCGAGTACTCGACGTGGATACACCGTGGATACAGCAATCCCGAAACGACCAATTTATCCGCGGTCGAGTTACCCTTCTGTGCCACTGCTCTCGTTGATAGTATCTCCTGCCAACGAGCAGCGTCCAAAATCGTTGGTTCGATTTGAACTATCGATTCCATGTATTTGGAATGTCCGATAGAGAGATAGAGTTCTCTTTCTCACTCATATCTCTCTCTCTCTCTCTCTCTCTCTCTCTCAACCTCGTAACTTGTTTGATTTCAATCATTTTCGAGTGTTTTCAATACATTTTCCAAGTGTTTTCAATGCGAGGCTCACGAGCGCGACCAGGTATATTGTTTTATCGTTTCCGACTGTGTTTTCAATGGGTTGGGATGCATAGCAGATATGCGAATCGAAAACATTGCATTACAGTGGATGCCGAATATCGACACTGTCCGTCTGAAGTTCCTCGCGTTCTGTGGGAGACGAATTTTTTCTTTCTTTTTTTTGTTCGACGTCCGCGCTTCCGTTTCGCATGCTAATATTGCATGTATTTACGGGTTTCCATTATTTTTTTTTATGGGACACACGACGCCGATTCTATGAAGTACGATCTTGGAATAATGTGCCACCACACTGTGCTAAATTTGATGAAGGGCTCTTATTAAACGGCGACCATGCGTGTTTTCACATTCCGTTTATTGGATATAATATTTACAGATTTTAAAATAAGAGATCTATGAGAGAGCATTTTAATTTTCTGTACTCGAAAAATCCACGAAAAATTTTTCTCTCTGCACACGAATTGTTATGTGTGCGTCTACGTACAAATTAAAGTAATTCAGATTGTTTGGTATTATTTGATTTATTTTTATATAGATTGAGGAGTATCTAGTTGAATTTACAGTTCATTAAACGCGAATTTATCAAATATTTCTTCCTCGTGTATTTAAAAG